CCGATAACAATAACCCAGCATTGTTGTGGAATCTTTTGTATGGGTACCTACAGCTAAAAACACTTTACAACAACCATACATTATTATCTCTTACTTGTTAGGGCCCTCAGCCTCGCGGTTCACTTCCTATGTCGGCTAAAAATGTCACACCCGGATAGGGAAGCAATTTCCGTATATGTGAACAAATGACATTTTATTCATTTACAACGTAATTTCGCTAATATACTGTTCATAAGACGAAAGCATAAGAGTAAGTAGCATGAGGTCATTCAATGAAATACGTTAATCAGTAGAAATAAAATCATTGTATGGAAAGATTTAATCAGAGTCTTCCTCATCGCTACTTGTAACGATCGAATCCGCAGTTATCTCAAGATCTATTCCTCTCCTATGACGCTTTCGTAGATCTCGAAGACGTTGCTGTTTGCGTTCCCGCTCCCCCCCTGCCCTGCCGCTTTTCGCGAGGGCACGTTAGTACGCTGCAAAACGAAGTAACTCCACATAGTATACCACGAACGACACATTTTGGCAGCCTCAATACAAGCTGAAGAAGAAAAAAGGTAACGGTATCACTACACTCACCGGCAATTTGCGTTTCCCTCTGACTAGCCAAATCGTAGTCCGCCGTTCGCACCTTCAGCCAACGCTGCTCGCGTATTTCAACCTCAGTCACTCCTTGCAAGTTCTTCCACCTGCAAGCACATTTATCACACCCAAATTTATCTTTGGTTGAACTTCATCTGATAGCAGCATTTGTACAGTATACATGTAATCAATTCCTCGCCATGGGAGGGGGGGGGGCGTTGGTCAGGTTACATCAAGATGACAACAGCCATTCATTTTGCTGTGATGCAAGTTAATCCAAAGTAAGCATAAGCCGAAGTGTAGGCTGAATAATCGCGTAGCTCTGGTAACCTGACCAGACAGAGAAGAACTGAATATACGTCCATTCATGTGATGAAAAAAAAATCAAAGTAGTTAGGAATATTCAGAAAGAAAATGTAAAGAAGATGCAAAGTAGTAGAGAGGAAGAAGGATCACAGATGAAATAACGAGAGAAAAGTAATAAATGGAAGTTGCCAAGATTATGTTCTACGACCACCTCCAGGCGACACTGCATATACTGGCTTTTCACCTAGCCACTGTCGAACAGGCTTCATTCGATTACGCGTTGATCGACGGATATTCGGATCGGGTGGAGGCTCCGGATGAACTGAACATGGTGTACTGCAGGTGATGAACCGATTATCGAAGCGATAAGAAAATTCCTGGCCTCTTCTCTGGGATAGATAAAAAGGATCACGTACTGACCAATTTTACGTGGCTTCAAAACCATTGGCTCAAGTTTTCGTCGATTCCTTTCTCCCTCGACCTCGATGAGATCAGGGTCTGCAGTGACTGTGGAGTCCTCTGGAAAGTAAATAATGTATACAATCGATAAGAATATCAACACAATGAAACAGACAGACGAAGTAAAGATTGCTGGGAAGCGCAGGGCAGATGTCATGCTTCGCGATTTCAGCGGTTCGCGAACGTGTCACGTGTCGAGAGTCAACGCGTAAACCCGAGCTACCTTTTCGACGCGGGTTGACTTTCGCCACTTTTTTACGCCGCACGATTAGACCACTAACGTCTGCAACCGCAGTCCTGTTATGTCTAAAATACAAAACCTGAAACATCAGCTAAACATACCGGATGATACTGCTTCCAAACCACCATCAAATGAATCGGTCGCCTGATAGCCCGAAGATGCGTGGAACGGACGTTTGCAAGGCTCAGGAGGTGCCCGATGAGGCGTATTGGTCGAACACAGACTATCAGCCAGCAGCCCTATGCAAGAACCTATTTCTGACCACGATACCATGACCATGTATACTAACTCGAGTTCTTCTTTCTCATCACCGCTTCATAGCGCACTCTGTTCGGCTTCCTGATCCATTCTTGCTGGTGATATATCTAAACATCACTGCGTAGAGCTCAATTCAAAATTGCTGCTGGATCGCATAGGGATGGTCCGCAAGCGCTTATTTCACAAATTTCGATTATGTGAAGAATTCAAACTGTTCAAACGGCCTCTAGTGAAAAATGAGATCAATTCCAGTGACCCACCTTCCAAACTCAGTTGCCGAGCAGCATCCATGAGCGTCTTCTCGTATTCATCCGGTATGGCATCCTGTAAGAAACACATAGATCGTGGCAAATCCTACAACATGAGGAAAATTGTGGATTCGTCAACGGGCAGCAAAGAGAATTCCCGTGAGGATGGCATTCCTTCCGCCAATCGAGAGATGGAACGAACGATATTTTTTCCCATTGTCAACCTTAAATTCTGTTTTTGAAGCAAATGAGGTAATTTTCCCCTGCAACTCACGATGGATGTCTACTGAATCCCAGCCGATTGAGCGGGCTGGAAATAGCGCGCATGGCGGCGATAAGATTCAAAGAATCTATCGCTCTCCTGTGCGATGCTGACCTTACGCTTACAACTGCCTTTCCCTGCCGGCGGTTCAAACCCGACTTCTGTTTCCTAGGCGTGGACCCTGCGGTTTAACGCTTTATCGTGGTCTAGACTCGCAGTTTACAGTCCGAGGGTGCATTGCGCAAGTAAGAGGAAATTATTGACAACACAGCCACTTGACCTGTAATTTAACCCATTCGCGACCGCGCAGGATTGCGCAATAGCAGCAGCGTCAGGAGATTTTTCTTCAATAAAATTGAGTGGAGGGAGATTTCCTCTGCCCAGGGCTGGCGTAGATGAGCGAGGGTATGAAGATTCTTTTCATGGAAGAAAACTTTCCAAATTCCATTTCAAGCCCTGCAGCCACAGTAATACCATTGTCCCGAGTGAGAGCTTTGTCAGCCACCGGTGGCTGACATTGTCACGAATGGGTTAATAAATCTCAGCTCTTATGTTTCACTCTCTGAAGCTCGAGAAGCAAATCAAAAAGGTTTATTTCTCAAAAAATTTCATCTCTCAGCATAAAAAACAAGTTACAAAGTTAGAAATATTTCAAAAATGAGGTGGTGTATATGAGTTCATTACGAAATATAGAGGCATTGGTTAATATGGGCCTAGAAACCATACTTTTGTCGACCCATTCTCCTCATTTGCTTGCTTTCGGCCCATTGCTGCTGGAGCGCCTCTTCGCGCGCAACAGCCTGGAAGCAGTAGTGGATTAGATACTCCATGAACGTGGAACAAAACACCACGTACAAATTAGAAAAAGAAAGCGACCCCTCAAAAAGCTGGAACGAAGAAGGAGAATGCCCCTTCTTCAGGTGACTGACAGAGCGATACCATGCAGAAGAACTAACCAAATTCGCAAGATATGTGATCTGGTGCTTTCTCTTTGACGTGACGTCGGCTGGATTCTTAGACTTCGGCAAAGGCGCCATCGCGTCTTTGGCGCGTGCAGCCACGTGCAAATTTTTCAACAGTGTTGCTCGAACATCTGGCCCGAGCGCCTGAATAAAAACTCTTAGAATCGCTGTCAACAAAGCATAGGAGCCAAAATCTGTCAATATACAATTCTTGCTAAGATGTCCAGGTTCAATCGGAAAACATGCCATACAACAATTTACAAAATATTTATCGATTTCGCAGACTTTACAGCCGCACTCGTCTTGAGCTGACCGCTGCGAATACTGTAATGTCGCTACCAAGTATGAAGTAATGAAACTTACGTCATCCACTCGTATATCTACAATATCTTCTGCAACAGAATTGACACTACGATGATCCATCGACCCCATAGGCCCGACTTCATACTTCATTATGAGCCGGCGGGCTTCCTGAAAAATTGCATTGAAATGACTGAACAAGTTGAAAGCACCTAAACTTC